CACCAACAGTTTACTATATTGGCTACTGGACTGGAGCATAACAGCGCAACTGCATGGCCTCTTGACATTGCCTGGGAGGCTGTAAGTTTTGAACTGAAATTCTCTTGATAAGCTTATTGCAGTGCTTTTGTTATTTCATAATGTGTTCATATCATTGTTATTTGATGTGCTGTATAATACTGTTGCATTCCATATGAAGTTGTTAGCCGGCTTGTGCTTCCTTTGAGAGAGAAAAGCAGAACACTAATGGCTACTGATGATGGTGGTGGTGATGGCGGCAAGAACATTTCATGCACTGTGAGCTCCAGCCCAGCAACAGGCCCTTGCTTGCAGTGTACTGTGTGTGTTGGTAGGAATATATCTGAGTGAAGGCTGATCTGCAATGCACACAAGGCTCAAAGCCAGGGGCATATCAAAGGCTATTTGATGAAGAGCCAGTGTACCATAGTAGATAAAGCATTGGACCAAAGCTTAGAAGAAATCTGAGTCTAGTTCCCACTTGGCCATGAAACTTAGTGGGTAACTTTGGGCCTAAACTATATTGCAGGGTTGCTGGGAAAATTAAATGGAGATGAGAGGAAGGAGGTTTTGTAAACCCCCTTGGGTACCTTACAGGAAAAAGGATGAATATAGATATAATAAATAAGTGAATAAATGCATCAACATCAGCATAATCTCAAAAGAATGACACAACCCATAATGTTAATATGAAGGGAAATATAATGCAGATGAAATACTTGCACTGCTTCTGAACATGAATGGATTCTTTATTTTATTTATTACAAGAATGATTACAATTTCCAGTTTTGCATGTACAGTGTGGATTCAATCGATAGGCTGAAATTGGGGCTTTATTTTCATGAGGCTGCTGCTGCTTTGCTGTGGCACATGGATTTCTATGAGGACACTGCAGAAATTGCTAAGTAAAAGTCTTTACTTAGTGTGATAGGATTCACTGCTGGACACCAGCCACGCCATCATCCATCTGGCTGTCTGTTACACTTTTATACTCCCCCATAGCCCATAGGGTGCTCTGTTTGCAGGTAAAACATATAGCGGCAATAAAATGAGCAGTTACAAAACATTAAAAAACCAATAAAAAAACCGAACAGGCAAAACTTTTCATCTCACAGTGATTGAAGTTATTACACAGCATAGCAGTTTGGATAAAAACAATATGAAAACCAATCTATCCTTCAAAACATCTGGTAAATAAAAACCTGGCACGGAAAAGTACAACGCCAGTGCCAGGTCCCCCTCCTTGGAGAGCATGTTCCAGAGGCAGGGTGCAACTACAGGGGAGGTCCTCCTCCTACTGTCACCCCTTCCTTCCTTGGAGGAGGGTTCCTGGAGAAGGACCACCACGGAGGATCTTAGGGGCTAGGTAAGAACATATGGAGAACATACGGCATTCCTTCGAATAGCCTGGCCTCAAGCCTTTCAGGGCTTTAAATGCTGATGTCAACACTTTGAATTGGGCCTGGAATTTAACGGGCAGCCAGTGCAACTGGTGTGATGTGATCTTGTGGGGCAGTCCTCATTTTCAGCAGTGCTGCCAAATCTGTTCTATTGCCATATTTGCTCCTCTAAGGAACTCTCTTTAGCAGCTGAATGAATCACTCTATTTTCTTTGCTTGCAGTCATCATGACAAATTATGTGGAAATGCACTTTAGAATAAGCCCAGCCACCTACAAATTACATTGCACATCAACAGTTCAAAGAACACTGCAGCCTTCTCCAAAAAATGCACTTTTCAGGTGAAGACATGGGATTACTCTAAGACCCAGCACCAGCTCTTGTGTAATATACAAATCTCCTTGCTGAAAATGCCACCCATGCCAAGGAAAGACACGCTGGCTTTCAGCACGATTTTAAAAATGGCTGCTGCTGCATGATGTTTACATATTATTTCACATATTGAAATGATTGAGAGTATCTGTAACAGAATGTAAACAAAAAGGTGGTTTTTTAATTTGTTTTATTTTGATGCCTAATGAATCCTTCATGGTATGAGTACCAAAGAAAAAGAAAGAAAGAAAGAAAGAAAGAAAGAAAGGGGAATGTGAAGGATCCAAACCTTGACTTTTAACCCTGGAAATGTTAGGATCAAGGACAATTATATTTTTGGAGCTTAAGAAAATGTTTGGAGACCATTATTGCTAAGGTATTTTCTTTTGTTGTCTTCATGTACAGTATAGTACTATGCTTGAGTAATTGCATTCAGTGTGGTTTCTGGATTGAAATCATGAGTATTTTGCAAAATAGTGATATACCCCACTAGATGTTTCATTAAGAAGCACACACTGTGGTGGTCATACAAACATGATGTTATATATTTTCCATTACTAAAGTAGGTCCTTGATTTCTGTTTCATCACTGAAAAATTGGCAGGATTTCTAAAGCCTTCTATAGAAATAAGCATAAAAATAATTGTACACTCTCAGAAAGTGAGGTAGACCTGTGTAGTTATCTTCTGCCTGTTGGCTCAGCTCAGAGAGACCTTTAGCTTCAGTGGTTAAACCCTGCTTCACTGCCCTTTCCTGCCAGGACAGAAGTTAGACTAGCCTTTCCCAAGCTGGTGCTCTACAATTATTCCCATCAGCCCTAATTAGGATGGCCAATAATGGGAGTTGCAGTTTAACACACCTGGAAGACACCAGCTTGGGGAAAGGTGGGCTAGAGATGATGCTCTGCAAGTAGATGAAGTGGGAAAAGTAGCTCAGTGACCCTGATGAAAGTTAAGTTCGGAACACTGAGGCTTCACTACACCAGAGAACTTTGCAGAAAGGAAAGCAGTGATGAATAGACTACCCCCAGCATAGGACTGGCAGGCTATTCCCTCATGATCCCTAAAGGCAATGTCAGAATGAGAACAAAAGAAGGTGGGGAGTTCCAGGAGCAGGGAAGGTGCTAGGGAAGTGGTGAAGCTGCACTTGGAATCCTAAGCACAGGGGTTACCTTAGGTTGCAATGGCAAGGAGTAGATCATGTAGGGGTATCTATTGGAGTGATGTCAGGAGAAAGATGGATGCCTATTTTAGAGGAAAGAGAGTAGAACTTCAGTGCTCATGAACACTTGGAAGCCTTCAATGAGAAATGGCCTATCTCAGCTTCTCGGGTCTTCTGGGTGCCAATTTGGCTGACAAGGACTATAGATGCTTGAAGACCAAGTCTGATATGGGCAATGATGCAGCCAACAGAGGCTAATAAAAGGAGTGTTGCAGACTGGGAGATGTATAGCAGGTTTAGTAATTATTAGAAACTCCTGAGCCCCACACATTCCAAAACGTACCTGCTCAGATACAGTAGTGCTGTGAACTGCCCAAACAGCATTGGCTATTGGACGGTAAAGACAGAAAATAGACATTGTCATCCATCTTTTTTCCCTGCAAAGAACACCAGCTGAGATCCACTCCACTATGGAGCACCCTGGACAGCTCCTAGAAAGCTCAAAATAAAGGATGTGCTGGATGACGAGCCTCTCCGGCACCAACATCCCCAGCCTGTCCTGCCTTTTAAATCAGTGTCCACACTATTAACTCTTGCAAGAAGAGCTGTATTGTCCCCTGAACTGAGCTGAGCAACCTTCCATTAGAATTAGGGTTGGAATCAAGTGACTAGTTTTCCCACCTGTTCAGTCCACACAACAAAAATAAAGGACAGTTTTTGGCAAGCTAGAGAAATTCTTTTCATAAAACATTTGTTGACTTGAACAAACCCGACAGAGCAACCTTTCTGCAGCTAAGCAAGTCAAAGTCCAGTGGGATAATTCCTGGGAGCTCTGTTTTTAACATCTTGAGTTCGACCATGGCAAAGAACTACAATACATAAGAATACACTATATAAATAGGCAGCTTTTACCTGTTCTATTTTTTTTTTAGGCAACTCAGCTCCACACATAAACAAATGCCTGGTGGCTGCTGAGGTCTCACCACAAGACGTCTGACCACTGAATCTGCTCATACACAAATTTGCTTTGAAACCTTATAGGTGATTCATCAGGAGTCTTTTTGCAAGGCAACGAGTTGGGGAGGAGGTTAAGAACCTCCCATTTCATCCCATTCCTTTGCAAGTACTCCATGATATGGATAGATACCCGTTCTTCTGAGCACAAAAGCTCTGAGGTGCAACCTGGATTTTCTGCCTCTGTGGGAAAATGCCCTACTTTTTCTTCGGCAGTGCAGATGTGCCCTACAACTCCGTCCCCTACTTTTTGCTCCACCTGGGGTGGACGAAGCTCTCTGGAGAAGTCGGAAGCCTGTGAGAACCTGCTGTGGTGCGGGCGTGCTTTTCCCCAGCCTGGCTCTTGCCGATTGACGCCTCAGCACCACAGACCCCTGGACAGCAACTCCGCCGCCTCGCAGCCGCAAGGAGCGGGGTCGCTGCACTCCAAGGAGCGCGCAGACAGAGGCGCTGTTTCCGCGCCGGCAGAACCGGGCGCTCTGATCTGGTGCCAGGCAGGCCAACATAACCTTGCAGCGGACGAGAGAAACTGACGCGCAAGACCGCAGCGGTCTTGGGTGCATGGGTGCGCGGGTGGGCACGGGGAGCTGCGGGCACGTCGGCTCCCCGGGGAGCCGCTGATGCCTTGGCGTGTGGCAAGGCTTCTGACCTCTGCGCTGCGGGAAGGGGCTGACCGGCAAGGTCCCTTGGCCAGCTCGGCGGCTTCGGGCAGGGAAAGGCTATCCGGGGGATGGACGCTTCGTCTCTCTAAGCCAAGCATCCTGATCCAGGGGAAGAAATGACAGCGATGGTGCTCCTCTCCATCCTTTGAGTCATGCGCCAGAATGGTGAGTCGCGATGGTCTCCCCCGCCCCCTCGCCCGCAACCACGTTTTGGGCTTCGGTGGCTTCAGTGCGCCGTAGACTGGGACGCCGATCGAGACGTCTGGGGGAGATCCGATGACTTCGTGGCTAGACGGTGTTAGGACTAGGTTGGGTGGAAGGAAAGCAGAGGAATGTCTGCTTTGCTCTGCTGCTTTTCCAGGAGAGAAAGCAGAAATGCGGGAAGGATGGAGACGGGATCCTCCAAGCCTTGGCTCCGGAAATGCCCTCGTAACTTTACTAGTAGTACTACTTTCAGTGCAACCGCTTGGAGGTCCGCAAGACCGTCCATCAATCAAGTGGCTTGCGACCCAGCCCAAGTGGCTTCTTGAGATCGCAATCGGTGGCGGTCCCTCCCACCCGACTTCGGTGACCCATCCAGCCTCCAATGAAGTCAAACGAACAGCCGTTGATGTCAGTAGAGGGCGTCGGGTCAGTCTTTCCAGAAAGATTTAGGAGAGAGTAAATAAATGCTCCAACTAGCAGGAGCATCTGCTCGCGAAAACACACGTCAAGGGGGAAATAAAACCATTCCTTTCCTTTTTCTTCCTTGGTGGCCGCAGTTACCCCTTTAATCCGAATGCTCGCAGCAAAACTCAGGCTGCTTTGGAATAAGGGGAAGCAGCCTTTTACTCCGGGATGCTAATTCCAGTGCAAGCTTTTGGCCGTGTGGCGCACGGGTTGCAATGATTCCGGTTAGCTGTGCTTAGAGGCACTGCCTGGCTCCTGAGGCTGCAGTCCGTGTCTGAGGGCAGGCTTCACTGAGCCCATTGATTTCATACCTCACAGCATCCAATGGTTTACTTTCTCTTTGGGAATAGATCTTGGGAAGAAAAAAGCAAGGGGCACGGGCTTCTTGTAAGGTGGCAAGTGTGCAAAGACTGGAATGTTAAACATTTCAATCTTAACATTTCAGCAGCTATCTAAAATATTCAGAAAAGTGCCTAGCAGTGGACTGAACAAGCCAAATGAAAGGAAGAGCGAGACTGAGAGTGTTGTCATGTCACAATAAATGTACCAACTCTAGAGTCTCATTTACAGAAATTGCACAAGGGATGTGGTTAACTTGGAGTGTTACATCTGGGGTAATGCAGTTGAATCCAGACATAGCCATACTTCAAAAGCGTGGTCCAATAAGTCCCACTGACTTCAGCTGATCGATGCATACATCTGGATCTGGATCCAGCTCAGTGTCAAGGGGTCATACTCCATGAATGACATATAGAAAATATGTTCATGAATCATAACGACTGGACAGCAGGATCAAAGCTTTATCATAAACACACCTAAATATTCTTTGTTGAGGACTCCAAAAATAAAGGCTTCAGTCTTATAGCAACTTACAAAGAAGTGAGTCCCTTTTAACTCCATGGAACTTACTTCTGAGTAGGCATCGTTAGGATGGTGTTGTGTGATACCTAAAGCCATCTTCTCATTGGATAAACTGGTATTCTTAATCAAACAGCAGTGTGAGAGATTTGCTGGCAGCCAACAAATCACCAAACTGAGGAAATAGAAACATAGGTAAGAAATTGGGGGTGGGGGGAGGCTGATCTTTTGCTCTTAAACAACCCTGACCAGTGCCTCTTCTGTGCATGTGCATCTGCTTGCAATGTGTGGCTTGAATAGATGCATGTTTACTAGAGATTCCTACGCAAGCATCTTCACAACCAAGCCCAGAAGTTCAGTGGGTTATGCACTCCAAGCTAAGTGTGTCTAATCTTGCAGCTTTTGTGTGCCTTGTAAGTCAAAATACTGGGGGAGGGGATAAACCACAAAGTGCATACATCCCATTGAATTCAGTTGCAACAGAGAGGAAACTTCAAGTAGTCTTCAGCATTGATTACTCATTTTAGACACAGAGTCTTGATGACTCAACAAGTATTGGGTTAATGTGCAACTGTATGCATAGTCATTTCAGCATGCCTATGTTAACAACAAGATCGGGATAGGACCAGTCTTGCAAATGCCCCACTGGTGTACAGCAAAAAAAACTCCTGTTCACTCCCCAGGCTTTAGTATACATATATATCATTCTAGGAGGTGGATATAAATATTTTGCTTAGTAAACAGGAAACAGTGGGACATATTAGATATGAATACAGCAATTCAAAGAAAATGCAAAATAAACTATATTCTGTTTAGAGATAGTAAATTATGAACGGCATACGAAAAAGACTAGGACTGCAATCTTACACAGAGCGAAATCCCAGCAAAAAAAGGGGACGGCAGAGAATGAGGTGGCTAGATAGAGTCACTGAAGCAGTCTGCCTGAGCTTAAGTGGACTCTGGGGGATGGTGGAGGACAGGAAGGCCTGGAGGAATGTTGTCCATGGGGTTGCCATGGGTCAAATGGGACTTCACAACTAACAACAACAAACATGAATGGGCTCATGTGGTTCAATTTGCAAATGAAGGTTTATGATTTTCTCTATTTTAGTTCATACGGCTGCAATGCCAGCTACAAAAGGAGAGCCTAGCTAAAGGCAATGGCTGAATTCACTGGGGATAGACTCAGTGCAAGTATATAATTAAAATGCTTATTTCCAAGAGAAACTCAGATATTTCTATTGCTGGTATATTTTAGTTGTCAGCATGTGGCCTGGAGGCGACGAAGCACAGATGCCCCAGTGCTCCCACTTCAAAAACACATTTCCTCTCAGTAGCTTTTTCAATCAAGTATTATATGGCCAGCATGCAACATGTGCAAAGCATAAAATGTTTTGAATTATATTGATTTATATTGATAATGCTTAGCATCTTTTATTATTGATGAACCCTGATTAAACAATATTATACAAATTACTCTGTCTAGCCTTCCTTGCAGTTTGTTGTCAAGATAGAAGTAGGACAAATTTATGTCTACAACTCTGAACTCCTTGGAGGAAGATAATAACAGTTTTAATATTTGAATCACAAAAATGTATTGGCTATTTGCTTTAAAACAGTATAAACTGAGACATGTCAACTCAGATGGAAGCTTAATTAAGTTCAGCTGTTGTGAGTGCACAATGGAGAGGAGGAGAACCTTGTAAGTAGCCTGGGTTCCTTGCAAGAGCAGGAAAGGTGGGATATAAATGTAACCTCAAAATAATAACACCTGATTAGCACGAGGTAAAGAGACTGTACCTTGCTAAACACACCCAGGTTGTAGAATACCTTATCCAATGAGATCCACTTGCCCTGCTATTTGTACAGTTTTTAGCAGACTGGTTTTTGTTGTTCCAGCAAGCATTTTGGGTAGACGTTGTCATTGCATGTGTTAGGTCCCCGTTAAGATTTGTTTTTTTTTTTTTTTAATTGTGGACTCTGTTTCAGTTTTATTTCTGTTGTAGTAAGCCGTCCTGATGCTTCTATGCAAGGATGGGATATAAATGCTGTAATAAACAAACAAACAAACAATTGTTTCATTTTAATGCCTGTAAGGTCCCTGAGCAATGCAAGTATGTTAGAAGGCCGGGGTATAGGTTTTCTAAATAAATGAGGATCTCATCCCATGCATGTTAGATGGACAAAAGGCCTACAACTCCCAGCATGCCCAAGGCAGCCAGAATTTTGGGAATTGTAGGGTTTTTGTCATATAAACATGCACAGGATTTTGCCTTCAAATACAAGTGGGAAAGTGTCATGCAAATGGCATTTTCTAATATATTTCTCTACTTTCTCACATTTGTTTTTATAGTATGGATTCATAAATACTTGCCTGAAGTCTCTGGTGGTTGAAAAATATGGTGAAGAAATATGGGAAAAATTAAGGTAATAAATTTATTCATAGATGTCTAGGGCTGGAAGGAGCACAACAACCATAGAAGAATACTTTCTTATGTAATGTTTGGGGCTCTGGAACAATTACTTGCATGAACATACACCTGTATACATATAGGTGACTGATCAGCTTAAACAGATTTACTTTTGAAATAAGCTTTCATGGTCTAGAACACATTCCATCAGATGCATCAGTTGAAGGAATCTAATTTATTAGAGCTTGTGCTACAATAAATCAGTTAGTTTTAAACATGGAGGAAAAATAGGAAATGTATCACCTAAACAAGGGAACAAATGAAATTTAGATTTGCATAATAGTTATATATACTAATTTATTGGATTTGATGCAAATTTAGAAACCACAACTATAATTTAAGAAGAAACACAAGCCAACTCATCATATGAGGAAGACTGTGGCAAGGTTCCCTACATTCTTCCTTTGTCTGCATTCCTGCTCTTACTCTTGATAGACAACTCCAGGGTCCTGTTCTCCCCCCTGCATCTTTAAACCAGGCTTGTAAAGCAGGAAACACAACCAAAGTGCCACATGATTCTTGGTTAGTTTTGCTGCAGTAAACAAACTAAGGGCACAATCCTATGCACATTTATACAGAAAGGTTTTTACACCTCACAGCATTTCCCAGCCAGAATGTTGGCCGACAAATGTTCTGAGCCATGGGACTTTCTTCTGCCTTAATGGGCATAGGATTGCATCTGTACCTTCTGAAGAGGGAAGGGACAACAGGTGGTACACAGACTCCAGGGAAGCAGAACAAACAGGGTCTTATAACTAGGAAGAGTCTTATAACTGGGATATGACTAGCAAGATCCAAGATGGTGTCACATAATAACCTAAATGCAAAGCTTTTAGTTCTCTTGCCAGAGCAAAGATCTTGAAGGAAAAGTACCACGTGTGTCTTTAAGGTGCAACAGCAATGTTAGTTCCCCCTGTACATGCAATTATAAAATAAGTAGAGTCTCAGTGAAACTCAGTAACTTTGATTCTGATTTCACTTGCAAAAAACAAACATAATTAACTAGTTTTTGAAATCTTAGGGATTGTGCCATGTAGTGCTCAAATTGCGATGTATCTGGAATATCTACCAGCACACTATAGTCCCCAACATCTGTCAGTTATGCTCCAATGCCTATGGGGTGTGCTCTCCTAAAGTCATCCATTGACCTTTCACTGACCAATGCACTTCCCCAGTATTTTCTCCTCTGAGTAGGGCTGGCTGTCCCATGGCACAAAGCATTTCCCTACCAGAATCTACATCATTAAAAAGAGCAGTAGGAAAAGATTGTTTACTCCTGGAGCAGACAGCAGCATGCAATTTTCAAGAAGAAAAAATGTGGCTATTACAGTAGTACAGAAGAGGGAATGAATGCATAAGCTACCAATTAGGTTAGATCTGAGAAATCATAGCACTTAGGGAGGCAAATATACACACATATATCTTCAGAACATCTGGAAACACCAGACTCTCAGCAGGACTCAGCAGGGTTACTCCATAGTGAAAGTGCTTTTAGGCAAGGCATGCATAAGCAAACAATTCATAGAAAGAATATAAAATAGGAGAATGATTTCCCACTGCTGAGAATAATTGGAAACAATTATTGAGACAAAGACAAGAGATTGCCTTGACACGGAACACTCCCCTGTTCTAATTGCTTTATTTGTTATACAACATGATTTAGAATGGCAAGTTGTTCAGGTGCACATTTTTGCAACAGACACATTGACTTCTTGTATCTTGGCTAAAAAGTCATTATGCCAAATGAAGCCACAATGCCTTTTGGAGTTATTACAATTGGCAACCTTAAGTGTCATTAACTGCAAGTGAAACGGTTATATATATATATTTCTTTCTCTCTGTTTGTTTGCTAACTAAAATTTCTATGGAGACATTCTTTTGTTTGCAATGGGTTTTGAGTTTGATGGTCTTCACATTTTGTCAAAGACACAATAGCCTTACACTAGATTAACTTGCTGACCCTTCAGAAATGATGTTTATATTCTTAATATATGTAAAATAAAGGAAGGGATCCTTAAATAGAAAGGTGACAGCAATGCCTATACACTGCTTTCTTTGTGACTCAATGAACTGATAAAATAATGAGTGTAATTCTATACCTATCATGTTACACTGCTGTGTAGAAAGACTGATCATAGTTATTACCAATGGTAGTAGCTATGGTTACAAAAGTAGAGTTAAGTTTTGCTGATGTTCTAGTATTGACAGCAGCTAACCTATTTTGATCATGGATGCTGTGGGAAGTATCCTGCTGTGTCCAGGTCCTCTCATAAGTGAACACCTGCACAATGGAATTTTTATGCTTGTGAAAATAACCTTGAATGAGCAGAAATGCTTATTTCTGGAATGGGAGGCCCACAGAACATTCAGGAGCAGTTGCTCCTGTGAGGACACTGGAGCCAGTAGAGGGAAAGACCTCATGGGATGCCAATCATCATCCTTGCACTAGCCAGATAATCAGATATAGAGTCCTTCTTTATGAAATGTCAGGATCCCTCATTTTTTCCATTCCCAAACTGTTCCCCATGTTTTTCATATCCAAGGGGAATGTTTTTGCAGGGTTATTTATTCACCAGTAGAAAAAGTCAGTTTGTGCTGACTTTTCCTTCTAAAAAATAGGTATAGAAATAAATGTCCATCACATCCATTTTGTAGGACACACCTGGCTGGCTGGCATTAGGTGGAAGCGGACTAGTCATATCCCGAGCATGCATACAACAACAGAGAATCAACAATGGCCCAAGACTGAGCAGTCTCTCACCCAAGACCCTCCACTTCAGCACTTAGGTAGACCAGCCTCCCAGGGGTGTGTGGAGATCACTTGGATTCATATGTGACGACCAGGAATCCTGGTGGGGATTTCAACCCCATGGTCATACAGGGTATAAAAGGGGCTCTGCCATGCTCCTGGGGGTTATTGTCATTTTGCTGTGATCAAACTTATTCTCGCAAATAATGATACTTTTTCAGTCTTTCACCCTTGTCATGCTTAATTGGATCAAGCATGCCAAGGTCTGGACCAGGGGTCCCCAGACTTTTTCACCAGGGGGGCAGCTGAAAGGTGCTGGTGGGGTGTGCAGGCCGGAAAGGTGGTGCCGGCGAGGCGCGTGGGCTGGAGAGAGGGGGGAGGCAGCACGCGCAGGCGAGGGGCACGCGGTGAGGGGAGGGGAGTCATGGGTGGTCGTGTGTGGCGAGCGGGGGGGGCGAGGCGGGGTGGCACGTGCTGCGAGGCGGGCGCACAAGGCAGTGGCTTGCTCGCTTGGGGATTGTTTTCTCCAAGCAAGTCCAAAGCGATCTCTGCATGAGCAAGCTGCTGCCTCCCCACACACGGGGCGAGGCAGGTGGCAGCAGGTGTGCACGGGTCCAAAACCTCTGAGGTGGGCCAGATAAATGGGCATGGCAGGCTGGATCCAGCCCACGAGCCGTAGTTTGAGGACCCACGGTCTGGACCCTTGTCTCCAACAATTCCATTGGGATCTCTACAAAGCAGAGTTCACGGGAAACTACTTTACCAACCTGATTAGCAAACAGATGCATCACTGTGGCATAAATCAGAACTCCCATGAGGTCAGCTACCATGGCAGGAGAGCAGAAGCACACTGCCCTATGGAAAACATCTATGTACATCTACACATAGAAACATTCATTCTAAAAACATGTATCTCATAATATTGATTTTGATGCAGACCAGGGCAATTACATCTATTGAAATCAGTGGAATATAACTTTGTCATGATTAACTTGTCTCATTGGGATTTCAGGGATGCAGCTTTGGGACTTCACACACACAAACACAATGAGGGGGGGGTAGGGGGGAGGGAGGCAGAGGGAGAGACAGGACTGCCATCCCAGAGCTCCCTCTGAGCTTAGCTGCATTCTCACAGCAGCAAATGGATGGGGGAATGGGTTCTCCTCACTACAATATATTGTTTCCTGTTATGTAAAGTATTTTGCCCTGTTTTGTCTTGAATGGACAATTAAGACCTATTCAATTTACAAGGATCTGATCCTGGTTTAACTACTTTGTTGATATGGATCCATCCAACTGTATGAATGTCTGACTCCTTTTGGGGTCATTGATATGGTAACTATAATGAGGCGTGCCTGCACTTGAAAATTTACTGGTACACTACTGCTAAAGCATGGCCATCTTAGGAAACAGTCCTATGTATATTTAGACAGAAAAAGTTATACTACTTCCAGTATGCCCCAGTCAACCATGCTGGCTGAGGAATGCTGGAAATTGTAGGACTCCCCCCCCCCTTTAAACTTGCATAGGATTGTACTTTTAGTCCATTTCTGAACACCTGATTTTGTCTTCAGTGAGTGAAAAAAATAGCCCTGCTGAGTAATAGCTATTTAAGTGTGGGCCAGCTGATTGAAAAGGAAATTGAATGCTTAAAAAGTTATTAAAATGTTAAGAAATTCTGTTTCTGTTACAGAGTTCAAACTGGAGTACAGGATAGCTTTATGACCTTTGAAGTTTACCGTGATGAGATCACAATGCAGCTAATTGACAAGGCATGCAAAATGCTGGGTATGTATTTTCTGGGGGAAATGCAAGATTTGGGCCCTACGGATTTAAGAAATTATATTTGTATCTATATCTTGTTTGAAGCTAAATAGGCCTCATGGTCTGACTGAGGTATCTTGCAACTTTGCAGCTTTCACTTCAATATAAGTAAATCATACTTTCAGTACGGGGTTGCATTTTTATATTTGAACAGGGGAGATTAGGGGTGGGGAGTGGCTTTTGAAATCCATAGGGCCCAACCTCTTTTAAACCCAATCATGCAGTTTTACCAAATCATAACCTTTTAAAAACAGTTGCTCCCTCACATTTGTTGAAGTAGTAAATAAGAACTTCTCTATTTAACAGGCTTTGATGAACTGTTAAATGAAAGATTACTTTTCTATTAGCAGCAAGGCAACAAATGGAAAACTGTGAGCAATGTTATAAAAAGCTCACTTGGGCGTGTGCCTCCGATCTTTAGAGCTGCCCCCGTTGCCTTAATACAAGCCTGTGTCTTCCTCCTGAACTCAGTATCCTTGCAATTATTAGGAGACCTTGGAACTCACTCCCTTAGTAAACAAATGCAGAATGTAGCACCAGCTTTTAAAACTAGAGCAGGGACTCACCTTTCTTTTCATAGTGTGCTCATTGTTTTCATTAAGTCCAGAGTCCATGGACTGGATTCCGCTGAATAGAACATTTGAAAAAATTACTTTGGTTTTCATGTAACTGGGGGAAAAGGGACTTACTAGCATGAAGGTACTAGAGCCCCGATGATCTCTATTTAATCTGGAACCCAGGGATTAGCTGGCTTTTATCCCACACATGTTCCCCCTCTTGTTGCTTTCGAAACATAGCCATGTTGCTATGAAAAATATAAATCCAAAAAATGCAGTTGGGCAATGCCTTTATTAGGACTTTTGCTTGGTCCTAAAAAGGGTAACCACCTGTACCTCCGGCACTTTATTGGTGCAGCCCTATGGTTTCCTGACATCATAGGATTCTTTGGAGTTCCATCACGGAGGTCTTCCAACCACAGGAATTGGAGTTCAGTGGCCAAGTTCCCATTTCTCCCCCGTGGCAGCCACTGCAAAAAGAACTACTCTAGCTAAGCAAAGTAATGCACCTTTGAAAGGGGAGGAAAGAGGCAGGTAAAGGAGGAGGCTGCAGGGGTCTATGTAATGCCTAGTGGCACCCTAACTTCCTTCTATTCATTTCTGTGGCACTTTATCCAGAAGGCCAAGCTAAAATTGCCACCACTGCACTTCACTCTGGCCATTGAATGCATTTGAGCTTCTGATTCTGAAGGATTGCAGGCACCTAGGGAGGGGGCAGTGTGATTGTTCCATAAGGGTTGCCTGTTGATGAGGTTTCTAGAAACTTAAAATTGCAAACTGCACCTAGCCACAATTCTCTCAGTTTCCTCTCCTGGTCCAAGGCAAAGCAACGGCCTCTAGTTCTGAGATCTCTGTCCAGGGTTGTTGTGCTTGTTGGTGATGGAGAGGTGGAGAGGATTTACTGAGGAATAAAACTCACTATGGGTAATGCGCTTACTCCTTGGCATTAAGCAAGCACAACTTAGAATGTTGCACAGTTTTGTCCCAAAAGCAAGCAAGAGGTTAATTAGCTTGCTTTGCATAACATTTAAATTATAGTAATGATTTCTAATTTTGAGCATATACTTGTACATATAAATTAAAATATGCAAATGTGTGCTTTTTTGTCCTATAGGCCTGAGCCCCAGGTCTAGCATTGCATGTGATGGAAACATAGGCAAGTAAAGACGTAACTGAGAGATATCAAGTCAAACTGCTTAGAAACAGCATGCTAGTACTAGGGCTCAGTGGTGGAATGCTTGCTTCACATACAGAAGGTCTTTGGTTCATTCCTGGCGTTTTTCAAGTAGGGTTACAAAAACCCAGAGAGGTTCTGCTGGTTAGCATTGTCAATACTGTTCTAGTTGTTCGGACTGAGTATCAGGCAGCTCCCTATGGTTCTATGAAGATGGAGAATTGACTCGCTGGCCAATTTGAAATGCCATCTTGTCCTCAGTTGCTAGTGAAAATAGCAAGAGGGGAGGGAAATCATGCATTGTCTTTTGTTTACAGGACATTTTTAGAAACAGTTAGGAACATTTCTGTCACTTCCCATGGAAAAGAAAAAAAATGGATAAACAACTTCTGTTTCTGCTAGGATTTTAAAAAATTGTTCTAGCAATTAGGTGGCCAAACTTTGTTTTAAAGTCATTCATCTATCCAGGTTATCGTAAATGGAAAGTTTCCATTGTAGTTCTATTATGACTCTTGGATTATAGTGGGAATTCTGAAAACTGAGTTACAAGATGAAATGTTGCTGATCCTATGACAGAGCTTTTGATCTCTTATTCTCTTTTTCACAACTAATTTCTTCGATTTTTGTTTCCTTCCAAGTATACCTTTTATCTTCAAATACAGTATATGGTACTGTTAGTGCATTATTTTAACTTTTGATCTTGAGAATTCACAAGTCTCTTAAAATTTACCTAAGGATCAGAGTCGTGAGATCACCAGCCCCTTGCAATTATGTCATCAAGAGCGTTGTTGAACCATGAATTGCCATTGAATTGCAAATTGTTGTGTTGCATGAGCCCAGCTGGACTAATAAACTATTGTTTGTTAACTATGACTGACTGAGAGAATCCATGGTTTGTTAGATTGTGAACTGTGGAATGTTTGTGGTTAACAAACCATGACTTGTTAGCACAGCTAGGTTCATGCAACAACCCACAATTTGACAACTTCTAATGATTCATTAACAAGCTATGCTCAACCTGTACTCTGGTTTGCTGTGGTATGTGAACCAGGTCTATAATAGATGTATTAATGGCTGCTAGCATAGCAATAATTTATGCTTAATTTGTTCAGAAATGAATCTTATGAAGTACTATGTAAGAATGCACTGTAACTTTTGATGGTTCAGACATAGGAGTTAGACGTAGAGGAAAGATCTTTTATAGCAACTAGCTATGGTCACTATATACCAACTCCATGTTTAGAGACAGTGTAACCACATTTTAATGGTAACTTATTATGTACTATTGTATTTCAATGTATTTTATCATGTTGTAAGCCGCCCCGAGGTTTCGGCAAGGGGCGGCATAGAAATGTTATAATAATAACAACAACAACAACAACAACAACACAGTAATAGAGAACCTCTGTCATCTCTCTGTCCTCGTTATGAACTTCCCAAAATTCTATGGCTGGCCATTCCTGGGAGGAAGAGACTGGGTTAAGGGTAGGTGTGCATTGAATTTCAGGTTGTTTTTGAGAAGAATTCAACAAAATATGGATATCATATTAGGGCTACCAAGAACATGGTTTCTTATGGATTATTCATGGCTGAAAACACCTGCTTTTATTGCATACATTTGTTGCAGATTCAGATTTCATGGTGTACTTTAAAATGCTATATGTGAAGTAGCCGCATAGGCACCAAATCCTAGGGGCTATGGCAGCAACTAATTTCTCTTCAGTCTTCTTTGTATTCCTATGTATCTTTTACTGACCATCAGGTTCCAAGCTGGTTTAAATCCATGTACTTTGCTTTCACTGAAATATGATTCAAATAGGCTTACAGTTATATCCTGATCCTTTTGCAATTAATAGTAAAAGTCCTGATAGATTGGGATTGTCTATTCTAAAGCCATTTGGGATAAGGTACTCTAACTGAAGTGAGTTAAAACATGTTCCTGGTCCCAAACCATGATGGTTCCATGTTATGTATGCTTATTTTTCCAGATGTTCCTCCAGATATGGTCCTGAAGCAGTTTGGAGAGTATTTTTTTGAATTCTGTAAGCGGTCTGGTTATGACCATATGCTGAGAACTCTGGGAGGAAACCTCTATGAATTTATAGAGAACCTGGATGCATTGCACAGCTACCTGAGTTTGTCTTACCAGGCAAGTAGACATCAGTAATCTCTGTGATGCTAGCAGAGAAATGTATGATTCCTGTATCTCTAGACAGGGCACATATTCTCAATAGCAAGCACCTCACAAAACATGTTTCTGGTATACATGCTACCTAAATTATTTACGTTAGTTGTTTTAGATGCTTTGTGCTTGTGATTGCTTGGGCTTAAAATACTGGGCTGCTGAGATTTGGTTACCTTCCTCTAAGATTTAAATTTGTATGGAACTTTGCACAGAGGCTCTACCAGGTGGGATTCTTAGAGTGGCAATCCAAAATATCTGGAGGGCACCAAGTTCTTTCTGCCTGTGCCAGTCAGATGGAACTGAGCTAGGTGCACAAAGCGTTTCACCCGGTATAAGTAAGGTGCTTATGTAACATTCCCAAGCTGTTGATAGCTCTGAGTGACATCAGCATCTGCAAGATTGGTGTTGATGTGAAAAATGTTCGCTTCACTGATTTTCCTGACGAGGTTGCAGGGGTGATGCTAAGAAATCTCACAGGCAGGACTATCATGGAAGGCGTCCTGGAGCTTTCAGCTTTCAGCCACTGGCAGAACATGTTCCTTATGAAGTACATGTGGCAGTCAGAGCCATGGCACCACCTAAAAATACAGAGACATACAATGATATCTTTTCGATCCATTCTAGCCTCTCTGTATGCTGGAAAATAACTTTCTTTTGTTTATAAATTAAATGAGGTGGTGAACTGTTGCTTTGGGTGCTCTGTGGTTCTAATTGGCAGAGCTACCAACGGAACCCACTGTTTTGCTTTAATTGGACCCACAGATAGGCTTCTCCTGCTTCAAGGTGCCATTGAAGAAAATATTCCAAAATATATGAAATGTGCCGTATTAATGCTTTGAATGTTTTTCAGGAAATGAATGCTCCTTCATTTAGGGTAGAAAAGAATGAAGACGGGTCAATGCATTTGCATTATTACTCAGACAGACGAGGGTTGTGTCATATTGTTCCAGGTATGTCTTTTTTTTTACAAAGTGGACTTTGAAAGACATAACAGTGGACTGATGTCTACAGACTGTTTCACATCAAGCATGTTTTGCCTTTTCTAGAGCTCTGTCATACCCTTTATTCATCACATTAGCCATAAGTCATCTTCTTCTCATACACCAACTTGCCCTTTCACTGAGATCCACAGATCATGGCCTCTTGGTTGCCCTGTTGCCCTGCCTGCCCAGGGACATCTGACAGTGACTAAGGAAAGGGTTTGTCGCTTGCAATGCCCTGCCTTTGGAATTCTCCCCGCACTCCCTGCACCTAGAGGTGCTGCTTTGGTGGCACTTCAGTGCTTGCTGAAAGCTTATGTGTATACCTAAACATTTGCTAAATTAATACCTAGCCACATAAGATCCGGAAGGCCCCATATAGATTTGGACAGGGCTACCTAAAAGATCACCTTCTCCTATACGAGCCTGCCCAGTCCTTGAGGGGAAAGCCCTTCTTTTGATATTGCTACCATCAGATATGTTTGAAGGAGGGAAAAAAGAGGGCCTATTTGGTGGTTGCTCTCAGACATGGAACTCTCTGCCGAGGAAGGCTAGGTTAGTTCTCTCTCTGCTGTCCTTCCACCAGGAGTCATTTTCATCTGAGTAGGTCTTTGGCATGTAATTTGGTTAGTTGAGTTGGGTGCTGTTGTTATTCTATGATTTTTTTGTCTTGTTCTTAATAGCATTTGTTAATGTATATTTTCTATATGTTTTTGTTTTAAATGTTGGCTTTTACTGTTGTTAACTATCTTGAACACTATTTAGTGGTAGGAAGGGAGGGCATAAATCTTTTCTTTTTAAAGTAATGCTTTGAAAACTGTTAGCTTAGTAGGATGTATTTCTGAGAAAATGTGTTTAGGAATGACATCCACAGGACAGGACAATAACATGCTTCTTTTGCTTTAGGAATCATTGGTGCAGCAGCCTTGGATTTTTTCAACATTGAAATTTCCATGGAAATTGTTAATCAAACAGAAGAAGAAGAAAGGACAGGGAAAAAAGAGCACATTGTGTTCCTTGTAACGCAACAACCGGTATTTTCACAGAAAAGAAGAAACAAATTCTCTTCCTCTCCACAATACTTTTCAAGTTCACAAGGAGAAAAACAGCTGAATAAAGAGGTACTGTGATGTTTATTCTGTGCAGAAGCATCAGCAGGAAAATGCATTTATACAAAATACAGCATCAACACAATTTCAGAGCTACATGTTGTGCAATATATTTATCTGTTAGCGGAAATAAAAACCATACAGCCACTCAGATAATACTTATGTTGCAACGCTGATGACATGTGTACAGGAGAAAGGTGCTTTTCTTATTTTTTTTCCTGGGCCATTGACTTTCACTGCAAGTTACAAAATATACCTAGGGTTAAGACCTTTATTTAAAGGACCAGCATAAATAGGAACCATGTTCGGCTGAAACATTGCTCATGATTTGCACCATGGATCTATGCATGTGACAGACCCTAGCTTTAAGGTGAATGGGGAAGTCATTGTAAGATCTACTTTTAAAATTGTTCAGTAGCCTTAACTAAAGTTATAATAAATTCCTATGCACATTTACCTGGGAATAAGATGCAATGAAATTTACTTCTGAATTGATATGAATAGGATTGCACTGTTGCTGTTGTTTAAGTGACCAGTCAAAACTCACACGTCTAAAGCCAACATACTACTTGGTCCTTTGCATCTTATTCAGAACTATGTCTCTCTGATTTCAGTGGGACAAGTTACCTACTGACAGTAGCCTCAGAATACTTGATCTGATATGATAGTGTGGTAAAGTTATTCAGCTGCTGCCTCTAAATCTTTTAATTCCACTTGAATTTGCACTAGCACCATAGTGTGAGAGTTAGATGACCTATCCTGTAGACTAGAATACATCTGCGCACAGATTTTCTAAACTCTCAGAAGTTCGTGGTTCTTGATGATGGCTGATTCGAATGGTCCTGTGTCCAACCTGAAAAGTTCTCAGGAAGGGATTCATTTGGAGTTGGGAAAATTGAGATGATAATGGGTGACCATACATGGTGGTCCTTTATGGATTTCCAAAAAAGAGGACACTGATTTGCATAATGTTTGTATATGCTAATATAAATGGGGAAATTTAGAAATATTTGCTATAAATAGAAATGCAATGTATCTTACTATACTGTGGAAGACTGTGACCAAAGACATATGTGCTTGTTGATGAGCAACTTTAAATCCCCTTCCACTCTCATGTCTTATTTTTTAAAAAACTTTAAACTAGGAGTGGACATCCCTTCAGGTACCCTGTCTCATCTATCCAGAATTGTGGGGCCCAGTGAAGGGATAACTCCGGACAGGAAAAGATGGGGACAAATTCCCACTTCCCCCTCTGGGGAGGGTCACTGAAATAACTCAAAGGCTAGTTGCCTTTAGGATCTAGAAGTGGTTCTTTCCCCACACAGTCTGTCACCTCTGCAGACTCTGTTACGGGTTTGCTTGAGCCGAATGCTGTACAGGATGGGCCATTGGTCTGATCCAGCATGGCTTTTCTCATACACTTATGCTTAATAAAGTTGGCCCTAGTTTAAGCCAAGCTCCTGTGTTTCACTTCTTTATTTTTGTTAATGTTTATCCTGAGCTGGATAATCAGAAAGAATGGATGTAAATAGGAGATATTTTATATTCAGAACACCTGCAATTCATGTTTATGCTCAGTAATCTGAAGGATTGCCTCCAAAGCACTGGCAAGAATGAAACATATTCGCTTGTGTTCTGTGTGTGCTCCAGTTCCAAGTGTAGAGAAATAAATTTAAAACACTGTCTGTCTGTTATTGTCACCATTATTCTTTTGCTGATGCAGAGTCCCTAGTATCCATTCCATTGTTTAAAATATTAAATGGCTTAGTGACTGCTTTGTGTTGATTCCACAGGATCTTGAAAGAACGATGAATAAGATCAGAGATAAAACAAGTCGGCTTTCCACCCGTCCTATTAAGAAAAGCCACTGGGAAACCATCCGAGGAATTGTGACAATAGGAAAAGGTAAATTCTGTACCTTTAAAAAGTGTTTGGCATTGACTCTGTTTCAGCATTGACATAGAGAAACCCACGTTGGTCTCTTTTTGCAGTAACAGCTACAATTTACCACAAGATGCTTTGCGATCAGACAGCCAGTCTCTTAGTGTCGGTAACACTGTCAAGCGTCTTTCTTCAGAATCACCTAAATGAAAAATTCAAGCTACAATAGAACAATGAAAACATGACACTCACACACATGCACACAGATACAAATTGTCATGTAGCGTGCAATTTTGACAGAATAGCTATCAACTGAAATCCAGAACCCTGACATAATTATATAATAGAATCATTTCATTATATTGTAAATTAAAAGCTATGCATTCCTTTCAGAAGCCTTCGCTAACCTGTTCCTGCCTGGAAATTTGAAGGCCTGGAAAACAAAAACATTTGGAACAAAACCATTTCCCCCTATTTTTCTGCTCCCCTGCTCTGCATTTATATTTGTGGGCACGAGATGCTCAGATCCTAAAGCAGAACTTGCCTACTGCAAATTTCTTTACTCTGGGAGTACCCCAGCCCTTTCGCCTTTGCTCCAAATTCTGCTTCCTTCAGACCTTTTCTTTCAAATCATGTTTTGTTTGCTTTGACTAAAATTAAGTACTTGTAACTTCACTGGTACACAACTACTCTCATTCACCTTCTGTTTTCTCAACATCTATTTTAGATTATAAGCTCCTGGTTGCACGGGGCATGGCCAGTTTTTGTTCGTGAAATGCTGTAAAGTTCCATGCACTCTGGTCCTATAGCTGGTCCTGTTGTTAGACAAAGTGAGGCAGCAAGTGCTGGTGGGTGGGAAGCAGTTCAAGTGTTGCAACAAGGTTCAGCTGCCGATCCAGTCGGGCTCTGCACATGGCGTGGTGGTGGTGGAGAATGGATATCATCTTGTCCTTGATCTGAGGCAGCAAAATATCCAATGTAGCCCCGAGTATTGTGAACTTCTCCACATGAGGCATTTATCATGTGTTTATCATCCCTTACTCTTGGTTGTTCTAGATTCTTTAGATGAAGTTATGATCTTCCAGTTTTGTTTCTGTTTTAAAACACTTTGGGAGGTTTTATAGTGGGGGACAATGAAGCATTATTTCTGATAGTAAAAGAGAATCTGTTTTCCTACTGATGTACTATTCCACTATAGCACATTGCCTCCTAGAGAAAAGGAAAAGCAGAAAAGGAAATGCTGTCTGTGTAATGCTAGAATTCTACAGAATTTCTGTGCTACAGAAACTGAAAGTACTGTAGACACTACAGTTAGCATCCTTCTGTAGAAAAGCTCTGTATTGAAAAACCCTAATAAAAACGTAGTGTGGATATTGTGTAAGTCATGTTCGAATTGTGCAAGGGATAATGCATTACATAACATTCTTAAAGCTTTAAATTTCATAGGCTGTCCAGAGCATTTTGGCTATTGGGTGGTATGGAAATATAGTAAACGAGACTGAAAAGTATATTTGAAGAATAAATAGCATGGGTGGTGCTGCCTGAGATATAATGAGACCTAAACAAGCTTTTTTAGATATAATGGGACCTAAACAAGCTTTCAAATAGGCTCCTTTTCTCCTGTCACTGCATTAATCTGCACCAGGTTCCGATATATGCATAAGTGGGCAAGCCTAAGGAACAGTACTTTCAATTTGCAATTGATATCAGTGTACAAATAAAAAGAAAATTCATGTATAGCACCGAGACACTATTAGAGGGATGTGATAGGTAGAGTACTGATTGAATGTGTAGTCAACCATCTTAGAAAACCATGCTACCTATAAATTGCTACTGATTTGCTGAGTGAACTGTGGTAAAGTTGAAAGCATCATTTCCCCCCATATTTCAGGACGACTTCTGAGAGGATTTGATCCTGTCTATCCAAAGACCCTCTGGATAGATCCAAAGACTTTCTGCAATGGGCTTCCTTTCCATATCGTGTTTGATGAAGAAGTAAGTCAAACTAAGAATAAGTAATTTCTCTCTGCATGGAACCAAACATATAGCTACCCTGAAGAGCAATTCTTTATATGTCTCTGCAGAAGTAAGTCCCATTGAAGTAAGTTCAGTGGGGTATATTTCCAGGCAAGTGGGTATTGGATTGCAGCCTTAATCACCTGATACAGGAACCTCTTTATACAGGAACCTCTTTACTGTTATCGCTTTTTGCTGAAACGCTAATGGTAGCTTGTTGACATGATCAGTTACCCTAAGATGATAACCCCTTGTAACATCATGCTACTTCTGACAGTGTTGTCAGATTAGGTTCTGTGTCTTGCCTAGAAGAAAAAAAAATCCTCTCCTCGCCACAATCATGGGAATGCAGTAGCATGATAGAACAAAGATCCATCAGCCTAATGATGTGGTATTTCAGGATCCAGGAGTAGATGTCTATGGATTTGATCTTGTGTTAGCCTACTCAGGGATACAGAAGATCAGGCCTCAGGTCAAACCCAGGACACTGGGTTCCAAATGGGTCTTCAGAGGTTCCCCAATGAGTTGTACCACCTTCTCGTGGCCTCAACCCTCTTTCCCCAAGCACTAATTGTATGGGGTTTTTTTCCTGTTTCTGCGTGTTTTTCCCATTCTAAAATGTTAAATTGTCTCTCCCAAGACATTGCTGCTAACATAAGAATTGTAAACTCAAATATGTTGGTATTTTTGGTATGATGTTTCCAACCTTTGGCCCACATATCGCTGGAATGTGCTCCCCAAATTCTGCTTTGAAATTGAATTCTGTCCTTGAATGAAAGACTTCAATCCCCCTACGTTGGATCCTAACTTAATTCAATTTCAGTCAGTTCACTTTGAGTAAGACTAGCATTTGCTACAATCCTTTGCAAGGAAGAAAGCTGAAGATAGGTCAATGTGTGCGGAGACAGCAAGAGATATGACTGATAGGACGTTTTTGAATCATGCAATCATAATTTGAAGGGTTGCAAACAATCTCTACACCACTGATAGTTATAAAATGGAATTCTCTGGGAGGTTGAGCAAAATAGCACAGGGATGTACAAGAGTCCTTTAAAAATGCATATATTTTTAAGCTCAGAGTGAAGCAAGCTGGAGTCAGCATTCAGAAGATTGTGCCTGGCCTTCAGACCATGGGTATCCGCCTCAATCAGTATTTCAGTATTGTACGCCCTGAAGTGACATTCACCATTTCCAGTGTCCAGAAATTCATCAACAGCCAATTTGTTTTCCGGACCAAGAGAGAGATGATGCCAGAATCCTGGAAGCAGCGTCCTATGCTGGAACTGAGAGGTACTGGTTTGTTTTCTCAATGAAGACTGAGGCTGGGCATTATTCATGTGACCAATGACTCAACTAGGTAGGTTTGAGGACTAACTATGGGGGACAAAGGAGAGTTTCACATCAAGGTGGTGAACCTTGGTCTGGACTGTGCAACTTCAGACTACAGATGAGGACCCACATGTCTAAACCCTCTGGCATTAAAAAATAATTTAATGAGACCTAGAGACCAGTTACATGACACATGTAATGGGCATTCCTGTATCTTGCATCTACTTACTCGCTGCTTTTCTTGGCCCAGCTTTTGCCACCCAAGGCAAGTATTTCATGCTACCTAATGATAGGGCTGGCCCTGTTTATGGTCAACACCCTGGTTCCACAGACAGACTGGGATCCTCACAAACAGTGAGAGGGGCCCCATCTAACACTTATGCATGACAAAGACACATATCCCATTTGCTCAAGTGCAGGGTGCATCTGCCTGGATAACAGTATTATAGTTATTGAAAGGTATAAATCTTCAATCAAACTGTACAGCTAGAGGAGTCCTTGTAGGCCATTTGGTGGGGAGTGGGAGTCAGAGTGTTGGACTAGGACTTAAGAGCTTTGGGTTCATCCCCACTCAGCCTTGAAGTTCACTGAACGAGTTTGGCCAGTCACTGATACTCAGTACCTAACCTACCTCTCATGGTTGTTTTAGGGCAAAATGGAGAGGAAGAAGACCATGGAAGTCACCTTAGGTTCTCCCAGTAGGAAAAAAGGGATATAAATGTAGTCATCACCATCATAATAAGGCAATTGTGAACTAGGGCATTCCCAACAGATGCTTGAAGACATCCAGTAAGGCCCTAAAAATTTTGCAACATAGCCCTAGCTGAAAATATGGGCTGAGCTTTCCCAATTTCCCCCTTCTCCCTCCCCTTGAATTCTCAAATGATGTCATCATCATAATATTGTGGTTATCTGTTCTGAGTGGAGAAGAAGGGAATTGGAGGGATGGTCATCTAAAACAAAGTGAAGAAAGACAAACTTTTTGATAGCTAAAAGTACTGGCCTGCAGAAAGTCTACCCATGATGATGCCTTTGTCTGAACCAGGGCAGATGATCTGGATGGAGTCTGTTCAGTGCATGCTCTACCTATGCTCTCCTCTCCTTCGCACTCTGCACGAGCTGGAAGAAAGGAGCATGCACATTGCGGACATTGCACCCCATGATGTCACCCGGGATTTGATTCTTCTCAACCAGCAGAGGTTGGCTGAGATGGAGCTTTCCAATCAGCTTGAGAGAAAGAAAGAGGAACTGCGAATATTGTCAAAGCATCTGGAAGAAGAGAAGAAGAAAACCGAAGCCCTTCTATATGCCATGCTCCCAAAGCATGTGGCCAACCAGCTGAAAGAAGGGAAACGAGTCGAGGCAGGTGAATGAATGCAGGGTGAAAGAAATGTCAGGGCAAAAAAATCTGGGCTGTAATGTGATGTGTCCCACTTCTGAGAATGAGGTCAGATTTCAGGGGGAAGGAAAAGCTTGCAAGCAGTGAACAAAGTGCGTCTCAAGACCACTGAACGGATTGATGGGCCTCCAAGCAAAGCTGGGCTAGGCTCCCCTTTTCCCCACTGTATTACTGAGAGTGGGATGCAGTCACAATCATTCCATGTAAGCCATTTAAGCTAATTATCTATTCATTAGTTAATGTATATACCATCAACCCCAACTGGTAGAGTGGGGTTCATTTAAAAGCCCACTCAAGGTAACTATGCAATAATGACCAAAACAATTAATACAGTATTAAAATGTTTATCATTCAATTATAGAATAGCGGAGTTGGAAGGGGCCTATTAGGTGTCAGCAGTAAAATAAGTAAGCAGTGCAACAGATTACAAATTTGCTGCCTGCTGGAAGAAGAAGGCTTTAAGCGAAGAGGCCAGGTGGCTTTTTTTTTGTGAAGGGCATTCAAGGGAGGTCACTATGCAAAATGCTGTATGGTGTGCCTTCTGGTCAATGAAAGCTCCATTGATTCCAATGCAAGTGCCCCTCCATTGTTCAGAAGCAGTGGCCTTCTGAATACCAAATTCTGGGAATTCATGGAAATCAGAGCTGGTGACTTCATGCCTTGCTTTGTGCACTTCTGCCCATCCGTCATTAGTGTGGGGCCTCTTCTGGTTTTATATGAAGAGTTAAGTTTATATGTAATGGTTATGATGAAATCAAAGGATGTAAGCATGCTTTGGCTAAGCCAGGGGTGGACCACCTGGGGCCCTCCAGATTTACAACTTCCATGGATAATGGTGAGGGATGCTGAGACTTGAAGGCCAAAACATATGGAAGAACACAAATGGCCTGCCCTGGGCCCTCTAGATGAGGTTGCTTATTAGCTAGCTTTGGTCCCTTCCCACTCCACAGGAATCCCACCTTTCAGGCTAATGCTGAAGATAGTCTTCTGTCTTCAGAGCCCAGCCATATGGAAAGAACTGTCTTGGCTGTGAGGCTGGAGGAAGGGCCTTCCAAGGTTGACATTCCTGCCTCAGCTTCAAATTGTTTTTCTGAGGGCATTGCTGGGACTCCAACTTATCCTATGCCTCCTCCAGACAATATTAGATGGCCATAGAATGGCACTCCGAATGAAAACCTTGAGTGTAGAACAGGTATGATTGTTGTCCTGCCTTCTAAACAACAAAAATATGCTTCTTCTCCCTCCTTTTGCAGGTGAATTTAAAGAGTGCACCATATTATTCAGTGATGTTGTAACTTTTACCAACATTTGTGCCCAGTGTGAACCAATCCAGATAGTCCTCATGTTAAATGCAATGTATCTGCGCTTTGACAGGCTGACCACAGTTCATGATGTCTACAAGGTATTTGCACAATGACAAGAGTTCTGCTTGTTTCCTGTAAATGACATTAGTGGGAGGTCATCCCCATCTATTAGTGGGGAATAGATGTCAAGAACAACTTTTTCTTAGTCTGGCCCTGGATTGAAATGGAAGATTTCCAGAAATGTTTAGATGGTTCTTTGCTTTCTTTGCTTAGCATGTAATATCAGTCTTATGTAGAACAGACAAAGAAATGAATAAGACTTCTTATAGGTTAGTTATGATTAATTCAAATGTCTTCATTTCAATGGGTTTACTCTATATGAGACTAAATCACCAGAAGCCATTGCACTTTCCCTGGGTTTTGTTTTTTTTTTGTTTTGTTTTGTTTTTTGGCTCCAGAATCTAAAAGCTAGTATAAAAGTAAAGCAGGAAGAAGAGGTAAAACAGGCCCTATTTTAGAGCTTCTGGGCTCTGCGTCATATCTCAGTGCAGAAGCTTCAGTTTCTTTTGCCTGCCTTTGTGCTTGCGTTTCATTCATCCCTCCTTCCTTGACTGCTTGTCCTTAGTTTTCTCCTGATCCACCTATGCCCATTTTCTGACATGCCGCTAGCTGTGGGCCAAGAGAAGGTGGCAATGATTTAATAAGAGGCACAAAACCACAAACAGAATACATTTTTAAAGGTCTCTCTTCCTGAACAAAAAAGAAAATACCCACCATTTGTTTCATATCACAGTTCAGCATAACAATACTACTTAGTGAAATAATTCAGATATTAAAATGCAATACTTTCATGCTAATAAAAATTCAGGCTAAACGTGAACAAATCAAAGACACATGTTGTTTTTACTGTGCAGGGCCGCAAGGCAATCCTTCAGTTTGTTTATTTATTTGGAGTTTTTGTATGCCATCCCATTCGCACGAGCCTCGGGATGGCTTCCCGAGTTGAGGGCCTGATCTGTCCTATTTCTGACCATGGATCTCTTTCCTGCTATAACCTTGTTGGCTTCCCACTGACATCTGGAGTGTGAATAGAATGTCAATCCCCTGAAAAGTAAAACGTTGGTCTGATTCAGCAGGACTCTGCTTATGCTCATGCCATTTCATCATCTGTCATGATCTTACACTGTGCTTTGTCTGTCCAGTAGTAGAAAGAGAGGAGATCAATGCTTTGATGGGTGAGTGGAAAATGAGGGGCAAGTTGTATAATAAGCCTAGGAACAGAGTTCCTCTACTCTCAGTTACTGTGATTTTAAAATGACTGGGCAAGCCCTTGATAATATTGTATTCTAACTTTAAATAAGCACAAGGCAAAACTATTGAAATATTAGGATATATCTCCTTCTTTTTTAAAGGTGGAAACCATAGGAGATGCCTACATGGTAGTAGGGGGTGTTCCTGTACCTGTATCAACCCACGCTGAACGGGTTGCCAATTTTGCCCTTGGAATGATAGTGGCCGCTAAAGACATAAAGAATCCAGTTTCTGGAAATCCCATTCAAGTGAGTTGCTAATGAACACAGCTACAGTGTTTGTGAAGAAAGACGCCTTGGTTAAAGGGGGAGATTTATAATGACCGGCAACTACAGAAATGATTTGTGATGTACATGTGGTAGGTTGGAGCCATATTCAGTCATATTTAGCATATTCATTGAATAAGTAACCCCGGACCAGGATTCCTAGCAGACTGCCTGCCCTAGATATACTCAGTCAACTTTTTATGTTCTTTAGAGAAGGTGTTGTTGGCCAGTCTAGGACCTACAGAATGTTGCCACGTAGCATCTTAAAAACAGGTCTTCTCAGTAGTGGTGCCCACCCTCCGGAACACTCCCCTGGGCAGACTGGGAGGCATATGGTATGTTTGGCTGGGTCTGTTTGTTTCTTGAATTTTCTGTCTAGTGTTATATTGTAATGTATGCATATTTTAAATGGGATTTTAAAATATTTTTAATATAAGCTGCTCTGAGGTTTCATTACATTAAATGTTGAAGTAATAAAATCGGAGGGACCAAGAATGCACATAGCTAACTTGAATGTCATTGACCTTAGCATGTCCTAAGTCTAGATCTGATGCAGTAACTTGTAGGCTTTTCTGCTGGCCAGCACCCAAAAGGCTTCATTGGTTGGCCTGGCAAGGCCAATGAAATTGCTAAACACCAATGTTCAGGCCATCAGATCTGTTGAGTTGCAAGAACTTCAATGTATATTCACACACAGTTTCTTTGCTGCAAGGATGCCCTATTCATTTCAATGGAAGAGGAAGCTTTACGGACACAAACTGATGCACACATGAAGCCTGTTCCTTTCAACAAAAAGGAATCTGATCAGAGAATGGATTTTGGATCTGTACACATATCTGTTAGAGAGCAGTAGAAGAACATGTGCAGCATCCAGTGCCTCTGCAGACTTAGAGACAAATAGCCTTAGCACATTAATCCACTGAAGACTAAGAAAGTGGGGCCTAATAGGATTGGATAAAATCCGTCTGCTTTAAAGCATGCTCAGTGCTCATGGGATTGCTGTAAATCATCTTGTGAGTTAGACTGTGCCTCCAAGACTGGAGTCAGGCAATCATTTTTCAGAGAGGTATGAGAGAGCATCACCCCCCTTAATGCACAAATAGATTTCTTTTGCTCCATAGTTCATCCACAGCAGTGTGGGTTTTTGAAACATTTACACCCCCACCCACCCCTGCAAAACCTGTTTCTCAAACTGCATTCAGATGGCTAAAATATCTGCCATCTGTCTTCAGCTGATGGAAATGCATGATTTGTTTGTGTTACACTGTTTATTGATGAGTTGGCTTAATACAACAATTTTTTTTTCTTTGCAATCTGGAACATGGAAAGGAGTGAGACATGTGTACCCCCAGCCTACAATAATGCACAGGGAGTCCTTTGGCACTCTGGAAATTCCCATTCCCCCTACTTGACCTTTGGCCATCTGAGGGACTACCTGCCACCATATGACCTGCACTGCCATGCATTAAGCTCCGTGTCTGAGGCTCCACCCTTTGTCTCATCAATGAAAAATGCTAGATGGATGAGTCTCAGGGGCAGGCTCTTTGGTGGTGGCCCCATATTCATCTAAGTCACTTCCTCTAGAAATCCATTTGGCTTTATCTGAATTCTTTTTCTTTTTTTAAAGGCACTTAAGTATTTTTATTTTAATCTGTGTTTTACTAATTGTCCATTTTTAGATTAATTCGTTGTACCCTTTAAGTGGTGTATGAGCTTTAAGCATTGATTTATGTTATGTTTTATGTTAGACTTGTATGGCTATCTTGTGAAGGCTATTGTGTCCTGAAATACCCAACTACTTGAATCAAAATATGTATTTCCACTTAATTTCAAAGGGAAGGGGAATGCCATGGTGAATTTTGCCCTTTGTCAACTGCAGTAATCATCTCCTGAAATACTTTCCAGATAGTTGCACTGGCTGCAAGTCAGTTTCATGACTCTGAATGCAGTACTTATAGCCACAGCCCCACCCTTCCAAAAGGAAGAAATACCTTGTTGCTGTAGGCACCAAACGTGCTTATCAGCTTTCATGAGAAATTACTGTGGCCTTGATCCAAACAGACTTCAGAGCGAACCCCAGATTCACACTGTGATTGTTTTAGTGTGTGTGTTGGAGCTGATGGTTAGGAAGAGATTTATATTTTTATTTGCAATTCTTGTGCAGATTAGAGTTGGAATCCACACAGGCCCTGTCCTTGCGGGAGTTGTTGGAGAAAAAATGCCACGTTATTGCTTATTTGGAGACACAGTGAATATTGCATCCCGGATGGAGAGCCATGGGGTACCAAGCAAAATCCACCTCAGTGCCAGTGTTCATCAGTGAGTAACTTCAGGATGGTCAGTTCTTAAGCTTTGCATGAAAATGGCCTCTCCAGTTCATGCAGGTCTCATGCCTGCTAGGGCTTGTGGGAGTTGTAGTCCAAAACATCTGGGCAGCACCACGTTGTGGGAGGCCGCTGCATGGCACCGGAGGGAGCAAGACGCAAGTGCAATGGTTTTTCTTCCATGGTCACACCTTGTTCCCGGGGGCTGGGAACAGCAGTGCATGCTGCTGCATAGTTTCCTGAATCATCCCTGCATCCCCCTTGCAGGTCCTTCACTAAGTAATCATCTATGTTAGAACTCAAGCAATGTCTCCAGTACAAAAGTCTGTGTGTATGTGGGGCAGCTTGCATAATACCCAAGCGTATAATAAGGAATGCTGATACACTGCAATCCTATACTTATCTCCTCAAAAATAAGCCCCACTGGGACTTACACCCCCAGGTAAATGTGTTTAGGAAAACAGCATTATTGTTTTATATAGAAATAGTTTCAGAGCCTAATTCATGTTGCTCTCTTCATGTTTCAGATGCTTAAAGGACAAGAATTTTGAGATGCTGGAAAGAGGAGAAATTGATGTGAAGGGCAAAGGGAAAATGCACACTTATTTCCTGGTTCGAAATACAATTGCATCTGAGAATGAGATCATGGGAAAGTCAATTAGGGAGTCTGACCTGAGCCCTGAACCTACTCAATTGTTTCAGGAGTGCAAGGTCGATGCATTCAAAAACTCATGTTCCCAAGGTAGGGGAAGAAAAACTGACAATTATTATTTTGATATAATCGTTCTATTTATCTCCAGACTTCAGGCTGGGTGTACCATTGCTTATGTAGTCAAAACGGCATTGCCCATACTCAGGAAGGAGGTATCAGTAGATTTAAACTCCAAACCTTCAAGAAATGCAAATACTCCTCAAAATAAGGAAAGGAATTGGAGGCCTCCCAAAAAGTCCAGTGAGGACCAGACCTGTGCAGTGGCAATAGAACACTGAATGCCTGTGCTTGGCTATGGTGAGGGGTGGCACAGCGAAACTAGTGGGTGTGAAAAGAGGGAGAGTGGAATGAAGCATTCTGGCGATGGGCAAGGTTGCCTGGAAGATGAAGAGGAGGACTCCACATTCTTGAGAAGATTAATTTGCATCTTCTTTTCTCTTAAAGTTCAAGATGTACAGCCAAATTTGGATGAGGAATTGCTTCCAGTCATAGCAATGAAGTATGCAGATAGTCCCATGGATGTAAACACTGATGCTAAAGGGAGAAATGAAACGAGGATGACAGATGTCACAGGTATCAAGATGGCAGGTGCTCTGTGGGACTAGCATTGCTCCCAATCACTGTCTAAAAGAGAGAGAGACAGAGGGTCGCTTTGGCTAGTGTGCTATGGATGGCAAAGATGGGATTAAAGGAGAACATGGTGTGGGCAAATCACTCCATGCTGCTCACATGTTGGGGGATTAACATGAGATGTTGTAGGGTTCTGGGGGGTTTGTTTCCCATGGCAGCAAATGTCAGGGTCCACAGCCAGGATGTGGGTGGCCAAAGACAAAGCAAGACGAAAACTACAGAGGCACCAGGACCAGGGCAACAGAACCGCAGGCAAGATGGAGTTCAAAAGCAGGGTATACTGTCAGGTCCAAATCCCAGTTGTCATACAGAATGAGGTCAGGAACCAGAAGTACCAGAACCAGGAGGACAAATGGAGGTGCAGGTACCTCTGACAGGATAACAGGGCAGAGATACAGCATGGCAAGTTATACAGCAAGGCAAGATACACAAGGCAATAGGAACCAGGCACAGCAAGGGTCAGGCAAGATGCAGGATCTGAACCACAGTTGTCAGGAACTCCTGCCTTACTGAAGCAAGGTGGCGAGGCAGGATCTAGGCCAGGCGGGAGGTAGGTACAGCAGCCAGGCAACATGGAAAGTCAGGAACCAGGAGCAGGACTGGTCAGGCACCACAGCAAACAGGCAAAGCCGTATTGCTGAGGCAACATGGCAAGACAGGAAACATAGCAAGATGCAGATGTGGCAAGAACCAGGAGCAGGGACAGCAGCAAACGGGGGGACCTATGTTGCTGAGGGATCATGGCAAGGAGCAGAAGGCTGGAGCCTGGAGGCTGGAGCCGTCAGGGAAGGTGCAGGTGCTGCAGCTACAGGAAGACCTGTTTTGCTCTGGTCAGTTCTGGAGGGAAGAGCTTGCTCTTAGTTAGCTCTCAGTAGACTGAGAGCTGCAGCAGCCTTGGGACTAATCCTGTGAATACAGTGCTGGTGTCTCCCCAGCATGAAACCAACACATGTGGATTATTGTATTATCTGAATGCAAACTGTTGACCCTCTTTTTCACTCTCAGGCTGTTTCACATGATGAAATACAGCATGAGTGTGTATGTCTGTTGCCATTTTAGGACCATGTGGAAAGTCTTGAGAGACCTGTGCAACTGCTTCCTGGACATAATCCAAGCTGTGTGTTTTAACCTTTAAATACCCAAACATCTTAGTTCCTGGCCTTACTTGAAGAGCTTTCTCCTGCATGTCTCCCAAGCTGCAGTGTTAAAGCACTTCCTCCAGAACAACAAATGGTAGATAGGATATGAAAACACACCCTTTTAGGTTAGCCTTTTAAGCAGCTCCTTTAATGCTTTATTGTTCTTATTTTGAACGCTTTAGGTTTTCCTTCCTTCCTTCCTTCCTTCCTTCCTTCTATATCTATACTGTCCAATTGCCAAAACTCTCTGGGTGGTTTACAAAGATTAAAACCTTAAAAATGCATTATAAAAAACCATGTGTGTACAAACATACAGACCTCCAACACAGAGAGGCATACGTGTGTCTAAAAAGAATGTTAATCAGTGGTTCTGATTGTTTAAAAGTCTGCTTGTTAGTTTAACATCTTTTTGTAAGTAGTGTATAACATTAGAAATAATTTTAATTATTTAATTTCTATCTTGCTTTTTTCCCCTTATACGAAACTGAAGCAGGCTTATATGGTCCCTCTCTCCATTTTATCCTCACAACAACCCTGTGAGGTAGGTTAGGCTGAGAGTTAGTGACTGGCCCATGCCTGAGAGGGGACTAGAATTTGAACTCCCAAGTTCCAGCCCAGCACTCTAACCTGGGCACTGCACTGGCTGGCTCTCTAGTACTCCATCGTATTAAGCCCCAGATCCCTAATCTTAAGACTTCTCACCAGAGTGGCATGTTGTTACAGGCAAACTACATGATACAGAGGCCCATGCAAGTCCTCATGGTGACCAGCAACCAAGGAAAGATCCTTATCATCTCATGCAAGGAAGAAGAAAGCCAGCAGCGGAAGCACCACGGATCAGGAATGTCAGAAACGTCAGATCCAATTTCTGCAATTTACTTTAAAAAGCTCCTGAATTTTAAAGTTGAAGAGTACAAGTGTGTTCTGTGATATTCTTTTTTGCTGTTGCTCTCTTGGAGTCTTGACTTTGCATACAGTAGTACAGCATGTGGTCTAATATTGACATATCTTGAAATCACTGGTAGCAATAATGAAACAAATGTTGACATTTTATAATCACAGTACTGACTTGTCTTACTTGTCTCAGTATGACACATCTAGCTGTGTGAGGCAGGATGGGCACTGTTTTCCAGGATTTCCGTATTTTAAAATGCTTGTCATCCAACCCCAAACCCCATGCATTCCAGAAAAGCATGGCGGGATCAACAGAGCAGTCCAGTTGACCATGCCCTAAGGCTTATTCTTCAATTCTGTGTCAATGGTTGCCAGTCTGTATCCCCTCTGCCTTTTGCTTTTGGGTTTGGTCCTTTTTATTATTTGCAAAGTCTCCTGATGCTGCTCCCTTGGGTGGGACTGGTGCTCCTTTTGCTACATGAACACTCATCTCTGAACATCCAAACAAGATGGAATCGAATTGTTTTTGAGCCTGGAGGCTCTGTTTAGCACTCAGTTAGACTCAGTCTTCATCTATTTGTCTAATGTTGTATATGCCCCCCCTTCCCACCCCTCACAATCAAACATACATGAATACACCTTTGACTCCCCCACCCCCCAAAGGATCAAAGATACAGCAGCCTGGGTTCTCCGCACTGTGAGAAGCAAAGCAGCTGAAAGGAGGTGATACAGATCTGGAGGGAAAGAGCGGGGATCCCCTTCTGTGCACCTCACCAGTCCTCACTGGGCCTAAAACTACCTGCAGCTGCTTTACATAACAGAAGCCTGGAAAGGGTGGGAGAAGGAATTTCAGAACTATGAGTCACATGCAGTTTGCCTTAAAATGGAGTAGAATATACTGAGATTCTCACCTTACAAGGTCATAAAAGAATCACGGAGGGTCAGGAGACAATGGGATCTTTCAATGCATTGCTGGGGGGGAAGAGGCAACTTTTGAACTAATTTCAGTATATACAGGTACAGTTTCCTTATCTGTACAAGTGTCACTGTGAATGTGCCTTCATGGTGTACAGCATAATTTCTATTTGGACAATAAATGTTTTGTATGAGATACAGAAGTAGCATTCATTTTTATGGCATGGCAAGAGCACTCCTCACATATAAGGTGAAGTTTAGCAAGAATGGCATTTCTTTTCCAAAGGATCCAGCCACCATTATGTCTGTGACCAGTGAAATGTTTCAAGTGGACAGCCAGAGAATTGTCCAGTGACTCATCCAATGATCTCTGACAATCTTCCCATTCTCCACATCCCATCACAGTCTACGGCAGGGTTGGAGAATGTGTGATGGTGCAATGTGGCTGATGTCCCATCAGCCACAGTCAGCATAGCGAACAGTGTCTGGAAACATTTGGAGGAACACACATTCTCCATTATAGGACTTTATACTCACAGCCTCATACAGCCAAGGAGCAGGATCTAGTGGTGAATCTAGTGGTGAATCTATGGCATGCATGACACAGCGGGCACACAGAGCCCTCTCTGTTGGCATGCGAGCCAAGTCACCCCAGCATCACCCCACCAGCTGAGCATCAGATAACAGTCCACGTAGGGGCCATGCGCATGCTCGAAAAGGAGTAGTGGTGCCTGGTGATGATGTCACAAGCTGTAACACATTAGCTGTGACTCATCCAAGCTTTCACATGGCCAGTCAGTGCACTGCCAAGTGTGTGTGTGTGTGTGTGTGTGTGCGCGCGCTTGGATTGGCTGTTTTCAGGTTTTATTGCAGTGTTGACACTTTGCGATAAATAAGTGGGTTTTGGGTTGCAGTTTAGGCGCTCGGTCTCTAAAAGGTTCACTATCACTGAGCTAGGTAATACTATATAGGTAAGAAGGAACTGGGTTGATTGAAAATGGCCTATGCAAATAAGGGCAGTGAACATATTTCGCTTAGGGGTGCAGCACCTTAGACCTGGGGCCCAAATCCAGTCCTGCTCAAGTCCCAGTTTAGGTCCCAAGGGTTTCCTCCACCTCCATTCTCCCAGCTACCAATCATTTGGTGGTGTCTAGCTTTTCTTCTTTCTACCCCCACCCTAAAATCATTTTGCTATTTTAATGTTTAGCCCTACATATCTAGCCCTTTGAGTATTATTTATTTCCTGTCACAGAACTCAGTAGTTCCCCTTTACTCATGATATAGGGCATGGGTCCTCAAACTAAGGCCTGAGGGCTGGATCTGGCCCACCATGCCCATTTTTCTAGCCTGCCATGCCCATTTGGACCCACCACGCATGTGCACCCATGCCCATGTGCGTGCCTGCTGCCACCCACCTCACCCCACATGCGCCTGCGCCGTCGCCTACCTCACCCAGCGTGCGGGGAGGCAGCAGTTTTCTCACTCAAAGAAAATGATCTCCAAGTGAGCCAGCTGCTGCCCCCTGCACCCACCTTGTGGCACGCGCTTCCCCTCACCACACGCCCCACCCCCACCCCTGCACCAGCCCGCACACCCTGCCGGCACCACCTTTCCATCCCGCGCCCAGCGCCAGCACCTTTCAACTGGCCCCCTGGTTAAAACGTTTGAGGACTCCTAATGTAGGGAAGTATAGACAATGATGTAGGGAAGGCAAACCTACCCTCCATCCCGGACAACAGGTGGATCGGCCCTTACAGATAAGGATCCCACAGGATTTGCCCCTCACACCTTTCAGTGTAATGCAGCAGTGTGCATAGCCTGATACAATGGCAGGCATGACACCACAGCATATATAATCTATCTAATCAGTACCGGGATGCTGAACCTCCTTCCTCTTGAGAGCCAAATGCAACTTCAGAGAAATTCTCAGGGGCCACATTTCAGGGGTGGGTGGGGCTGGAGACAAAATAGGGAGGGACCAATGGCAAAGGGACAGTGCCAACATACATTTTACTTTACACTTTTACTGCCAATAAATAGAGAGGAAGCTGAGAAACCATTCAATCAATGGAAAGGGATAGGTCTACAAACACTCTGGAGAGCTGGATTGGGACCCCAGGTAGGACAGATTTGGCCCATAGGCCTTAGTTTTTGTATACCTATATGCTGGCCCCCTCTATTTCAAGATTCATTCTGGGCACCAACACATTTGTCAAGCATCTGATGATCCACTTTAGACAACAGAATAACCCACACTCAAGGGATGAATATGGGTTGTCACTGAAACCATAGGTTGTTGTTGAAAAATGTTATTGTGTTGTCTGAATCCATGATGAACATACCATTGCATTGTCTGTGGCTTGTATCATGAACCATAGGAAACCATGGTGAAAAACTTGGTTTACAACCCAACAACAAATCAGGAGTTGCTCATGGTTAGTAAGCTGTAGCTTGTTAGCCAAGCTGGATTCACATAATATGATAACCCAAATTTCAGCTACTCATGGTCCAATAATAATTCACTCAACCCATGGTCAACCTTTGAATGTCGCATGGCTTGAACCTAGTCAGTTTCACTTCTGTTCTGGCTGCCACTGATACCTCACCTTCTTCTGTCATTCTCAGTTGCCTCCAACGCATTAGTCCAGGCTGCTTTGATGTCTTATACTGAGTATACTCATGGAGTCACAATTCGGTATTTAATGCATTCCTTCTCTGCCCACATGAGGATTCTGTGATTATGTTCACCAAGTGTATAGTCTCCATACACTATACACTTCCTGAAAGCATCTGGTTAGTGCCAACTGCAAAGTGTAGGACTAGGTTCTTCTAGCCTTTCAACTAGTCAGCATAACAACAGAAGATGACAGCCAAGGACAGTTAATGTACTGAAGCATAGAATTAATTTGTTGTTTCCTGCTATAAGCAGATCAACTGCACAAACAGTTAAACGCATACACCAGTCCACTCTGCTAATATGTGGGCTATCTCTTAAATGAAGGTTAGAGATGTTGAGGATAGCTCATAGGCTACTGTATCCAAACTTAAACGTATTTGGAGTAGACCCTCTGGAATAAATGACCATGATGTTAGTCATGGCTAAATTGCAATTATTTCAATGGGTCTACTCTAAGTATGACTACGTCTAGTTCAAACCCATGATACACGAATGACATACATTTACACTGAACCACGTTCACAGTGGAAACTGAAAATCCACTCCATTTTAATGTACATTACTTTCAGTCATTTGTTGGAATGCTGCCTGGAGTGAAATACAAGTAGAGGTGGCCATGTTTTTAGATGGTAGATGGATATGCTCTTGTACCTTTAACATTGTTTCATATTCAACCTTTTCCAACTTGGTCCCTTTCTGGTAGTATGAACTACAATTTCCAGCTTTCCTGACAATCAGCCCTTCTGGGGGCTGATGCAAGTTGAACTCTGAAATAACTGGAAGGCACCAGGTTTGGAAGGCAGGTTTACAGCTTCATAAACAGGCAACTTCTCATATTTTTAAAAGTAACTTTCTTTCTTTCTGGTAGTTTAAGTGATAACGAATACCAGTTATACTGCGTGATGCTAAAAAGACAGTAGAGAAAATTGCTATATTAAATGCTCTTTAATGCAGTCCTTGAGATAAACCATGGGGTTTATAAAAATATACAATAGAGAGATATTTGTCATCACTGGATTTCAACAGTCCATTCACAGGCCTTTGATGGTCTCTGTCCCAGGTTTTATTTCTGTCCTAAACAATTGACCAGTGATCTGAAACAAGGCTTGGATGCTTCTCTGGAAGGCATTCTGCCAAAGCACTTTGCAGAAATGTAACCCCAGGCAGGCAGTCACAGGGCTGGCTTATCTCTGGAGTCAGTGATGGTTCTTTAAAAATGCAACAACTCACACATCCTTTTCCATAATGGTACTTAACTGTTTTGTGTTCTGATTTGGGGGGCATGTGAAAGAGCCTTGATTTTCTGAATTAGGTGACATGTCCACTGGTAACAAGAAACTGACAGCCTTTACTTTATTCCTAGAAAAGAAAGATGTGCAAAATACATTGAGCTGTAGATTATGCCTTTGGGGGTATGAGTTACACACACATCAGTACAACATGACTTACCAGTGGAAAAGTATCCTGTGTTATAGGATTGGAAACTGTTTTTTTTTTTTTTTTTTGCCTACAACTCCACTCATCCCTCAACATTGACTTCACTGGCTAGGGCTGATGTGAGTTGTAGGCCAGATCATCTGGAGCGTTACCCCTGCAATATTAAAAGCGCATACCCTAACAAAGGGTATCTAGTTCTTAGGAGGAAAAAATACAATATTTTGTAAACCAACTAATTCAGAGTATAGTGTTCAGGAAACAAGTGAAAGCTGCTTTCTATAGCCACTTGGAGGTCAGCTGAGCCTTCTACTGTTCTAGATCGCTCCTTCCATACTTGCTTTATAAAAGTACTCTAAGTGGACACACACAGAATAATTCATAGTGAATGAATGTTACCTAAGCCTCTACAAAGGGGAATATGGATTCCACAAGCCTGGTTTCGGCTCATCCCTGCACTGAGGAAATCAGGTAGCCAAGTTTTATTATTCTTAGATAACCTGAGAATAGTTCTCTTGAGCTTTTCTTTTTCAGCATTAAGTCTGGCGTACCTGCATTTGTAAACCTGATCTTGGAAAGAAGTCTTTTTATTGCTGGAGAGACAATCAGATGAGATTTTTGCACACCCTTTCTCTTCTTTATTGGTTTGTTGCACATCCTTGGGAAGGGCTGCTGGTTTGATTATTCCCTTGACTTCAAGGGCTCCCTTGAATGGATTCCTCTTGTCGAGTTTGTGGTGTTTGTTCCCAGAAAGTGAAGGCACAGATGAAGAGATGGAATAACGCCTGACAGTCATAATGTTACCTGCATTAAAAAATGTGACCATATTGTATGTTTGTTTTGTTGTTGTTTGTTTGTTTTAAAGTCTCTATCTTTCATATTCTACATAATTAATTTAATAAGACTGTGAAGTGCATACATTTCTGCCTCTGTATTTTTTTAAAAATCTAGAAACAATGAGAGGTCAAGTGGTATTTAGAAGAATCATATTATTATCATCTGGGATTGAAGATGACAAGGAAATTCTTCTACCCATACTGTCCCCAAGCCCTTTTGGAATCTTTCTACCCAAGGCATTTATTGTACATTTGTAGTCGCTTACTCATTGTAGTTTGTGGTTGTTCATCCTCCAGGACCTGTCTCAGTCCTTGCAATCATCAAAACATTTTTCCCAATGAGGAAACTCTGGTATGCCCATAGGAGAAGACCAATCCCAATTCAGATGGGGAACCTCCATGGATCACACCTGGCCTGTGAGATGCAGGTTTTCATACCTGGTCTCAGGGATCATGGGAGCTCTAGCTGGGGAAAACTGACAGTTTAGGGTTCAACACCCCAGTTATTCCAGACAGAGAGAGGAGGAATGATTGTACAACTTCCTCAGCCCCCATTTTTATAACAGGCAATAGACTCTCAGGCAAAAAACCTGAGGAAACAAAGCCAGAAATCAGGTTAGTGGAACATCGTAGACTTACCCAGTGTAGACCAGGGTGAGCAATAAGTCAGCTTGCCATATTGGTGAAGATTGACTTAGGTGATTTGCTCAACCTTCTGTCCATGTCCTAACAAATTATGGGAATATCAAGGCCTGGCTATTTATTCTTCTGAACATTCTTTGACTTTAAACCTTATATGCATTAAACAACTCTTCAAGCAGAAGACTGTCCTCCACAGCGGGGGTCATTTGGTCACCCCCAGCCCCCACTTCACAGTTGGTCCAGATCTTCAACAATTGTTTCACTGCCTTGCTTGAAATATTCAGTAGATAAAACAAGAAACGGGAGTCCTTCAATGATCAGGTTGTAAATCTATAGTGATGATGCAAGGTCTAGTGATCCTATCTGGTTTGGTTCCTATTTTGAGTTCTTTTCATGATCATTACATAGCTAAATTCTTCAGCTGTGTCAGAATGAGCTTTCTTGGATGTGTGTGCATTTTAAGATTTAATCTTCCTCAACTGTAATTAAGTGGGAGTCAGAGTTCAATGATGCTAAAGAAGCTCTGTATTATGGCAAAGTTGGACTTGATGCCACTTTGGGAGTAATAATTTCCAAACCTTGTCTTTGGGAACAACCTTCTCAGGGAACCTGGCCTTCAGGAACCAGCATCTTTGCTGCCTATGGATAGAGAGTTGGTTGTTTTGAGGGGAATGAGAATTTTCACCACTGCCACCATCACTAGCAACATGACAAATAGCTGTTGACATAACCAGCCCTTGATTAGAAATATTGACAGTCAACCTCTTCTCTGAGCAAAGCATGTCATTCAAGGCGCATTCTCTTACATAAGAGAAAAGAGGCCCTTCACTACTGATTCTGCCTTCTTGAACTGACACTTGATCCCAGAACTGGGTTTATGGATTGACCAGCCAAAGCGTTGTTTCTTATTTCTGTTTCTGTAGGATTCTGTAAAAGGAGGTATTTGAAATGTACCAGAACTATGGTAACAGGGGAAATGCCAGTCCCTGCCCTTCACAGTTCTGAAATGGATCATATTTAAAAACAAAGCATAACAAGACTAAATGAACAATCAGCTGGCAAAGATTTCCTTGTGATGCTAGGCAACCTATGCTGAGTTGTTGCTTAATTCTCTTACCATTTCTAATGAATGTTTTAATGTCCTGCAAAATGCCTTTAAACCAAATTCAGTCTCATAAGAGCTGTTTGCATTAGATTACCTGTGATAGATTGGAAATTTGGCCCATGGGTTGATGTGCCTGAGGCCTACCCAGAAAGTATGAGCTGTCAGTGGGTGCTTCAGTTCATATTTTCCCAGCCAAGAGTCCTCACTTGTAATTGGCCCTCAATTACTATCAGCACCAGTCAGCATGACCAATAGTCAGGATGATGTATTCCAGCAGCACCTGGGGCCTTGAGCTGGGAAAGGCTGATTTAGTCTCCCTATTGCAAGTCCTATATGGTGGTCATATGCCCTTTTTCAAAGAAGATTCCTCTCTTTGAAGGGCTCCACTATTTGAAGGGCTGACCTGTCTAGTTAAAGTATCATCTGAACTATGGTCCATTAAGAGCCCTTGGATAGTAGACTGAACAGACAATCACATCGCCCACCTGGTCACTGCACTACACTTGTCTTCTACACTATGGTGAGATCCATGATATTTCCATTAGAATTACAACAATTATTTCTAAGCTTGCATCACTTTCTATCAATTAGTATATACAGACCATATACACATCAATGTCTTGTTTGGTGAAAAATTCCTTTCTTTGCTTGTTTGGCTCTTCACAAGTGGCCACTCTACACATGAATCTGCAACTGGTGGCACACGCAAATTCCACAGTCTCATACTGCCCCCCTCAGTAATTGTGGCAGCCTGGTACCTTTCTGCTCCTGTAGTGTCAGACCTGAGCCCGCTGAGACATTCCTGCGCAGAGCCACTGGAGAGCCAGCGACCTTTTCAGCTGCGTCGTCCTCCTTTCGGGTTTCTTCTCCTGCCCCTTCCTCTTGCTTTGCTCCCCTTTGCCCACTGAATTTAAGCTCCCCACGGAGGGCTCTATTTTCTCTCTCTAGTTTGATGATCTCAGAGCGCATTTCGTGGATGACCTGCATGAGCCGTTTGTTCCCTTCCATGTCCCCCCTTGCCAGACTGCCAGCTCCACTGCTGCTTGCTTTAAAAAGAAACCATGAATCCAAGCTGAGGGGCTCATGTGGCACATAAACACATCTGAACAATGGTACTCCGTCCTGGTGCTCAGCATTGTGCTGTCTTTCACCACCTGAAGAGCTTGGATAAACTGTCAGGGCTGTAAGAGCCCCTCCATGATTTATTCATTCTGAGTTTCATTTTTCCAAGCTGAGCTTTCCTTTGGCAGCCATTACTTCTGTGCAAGGATGGCAGTCCTGTCTGTTATACAAAGCTGCATCATGTGGCGTGCAGCTATGATGCACACACACAAAATGATTCCACCTGCATGTTGCAAGGCCTTGGAGTCAGTTGTCCCTTCCTGGAGTGTTGCATTCAGTCCTCAACAGTCCTATTCTGGAGACTGCCTTCAAACACGGCATTATTCTGGGACGAAACTAAGTTCACTCAGCATCCACTGGGACATGCTGTCCCAGTCCCTCTCCAATTTGTTGAAGTTACATTTTCAGAAGTGGCTTTCTAGGAACACAAAAATTCTTATATGTACAGTCCTCAGCAGTTTCCATTAAACAGTAGGCTCACTTAATGTTTAGGTTCTAAGCTTATTACCACCAAGAAAGTAAGAAAATATTTCCACCCAGATCCAGTTCAGGTTCGTTAGTGACATTTGTTTGAACAAAGTATGTGCAGCAATATTCTGGGATGGTAAGGGGAGCCAGATCAAGCATGAATCTTGCATTAGAAATGAAAGACTATATCATTGGCTGCTCCTGTTACCCATTCCCTTTAAGTAGTTCTGAGCAGCAAAATGCTGCCATGCAGTATCCAGAATCATCCATTCTCTGTCTCAGATTTGGCATGTTAAAATTCAGATCAACTCTTTCATGAGCACAGAAGATATTTAAAACCTGGACCTTTGCTTCTTTTATTGTTTAGGAACAAACAGATTGTGATCTATAATGCAAAACAGCTAAAACAGGAAAACTATGGCTCAGATCCTGAGAACCAGGATCCTGAGTATCCACAGCTGTGGTGTTCTGCCGATGCTTGGGAATGCATTGGCAGAAATGTTGGTGGACAGTTGCATGAACATCAGGAATTGCAATTACTTCCACATCTCTTCCATAAAATGAAGGATCCTTTTCATTCCCATTCAACAGATCCAGCCCATAGATTTTCTCTTCTTGTGCCCTTGCCCCCAAATGAATTACTGCTAGCCTAACTGGGAAGTGAGGGAAGAGAAATGTTTTTCATATCTGTAAACTGGGGAGAACATTTTTTTTGGGATGTCAGAGAAAATCTCAGGGCTACAGCCAATTGTTATGAAAGTACTATAATTTACCACAGCAGACACCAAAAAAGGAAGATAACCATTACAAGTTCTGAAAACTAATCATTTTCTTTTCTTTTTGTTTTGAAGTCAAAGGGTGTTATGTAAGTAAGTGGCATGTAAGAGATTCAAATATAATTCTGTCCCGAAGTTTCTTATTCCTGGTGTGTGTTTTTTTTCCTCCTAGCAAAGAGATCATGTGTAGTTCAAGTGACACCAAAAGCTTCCAATTATAGTATCATTTCTGACCTTCATTAACTCTGTCAACAGTCAACTTGCACTAGAGGCAGCTGAATTTGCTTAACCTTTGGTTCTCCTTGAGGCTGGTGTTTCTTGCATACAGATATGCCTAAGGTATGATCCTGCGATGCTTGGGAGGGTGTCACAGGAATCACTGCAGATGTCCTTCTCCAGAAGTGCAGATTGGAGGCCTGGCCACAGAGGCCATCTCTGATGGGAGCAGTTTCTGCTGGAGGTACCCCACTGGCAGCAAGCATGGGAAACAGGGATTCCTTGTGCCTGTGGGTGGATTTGGAGCAGATTTTGCTCTGCCAGAGCCAAAGCTGACTCTTTCCTGAGATCTGCTATTGGGAGGGGAACATTGACAATCTTAGAGGTGGCTTTCCCCCCTCCCACTAAAACCAGTGGGAAAGAAAAATTATCCTGGCTAGGAATTGCTGCTAGGGATGGGGGGCAGATGGTTAATTGGGTGGTATAAGGAAGTCATATCTGCCAAGATATGGTAGAAGAAGGTTATGACTATCAAGGCAAAAGTGACATGCAGTTGCCAGTTGTTTATTCATTTATTTTTTATTTTGATAAAAATGAAGGTTACGGTCTCTGGGTTATGATGGGTAAACAAGAACAAAGTTTGTTGTAGTTAGTTGTGAAGTCGTGTCCGACCCATCGCAACCCCATGGACAACATTCCTCCAGGCCTTCCTGTCCTCCACCATCCCCTGGAGTCTGCTTAAGCTCACGCTGACTGCTTCAGTGACTCCATCTAGCCACCTCATCCTCTGCCATTCCCTTCTTTTGCCATCTATTGTTCCCAGCATTAGGCTCTTCTCCAGAGAGTTATTCCTTCTCATTAGGTGGCCAAAGTATTTGAGTTTCATCTTCAGGATCTGGCCTTCTAAAGAGCATTGATCTCCTCTAGAACCGACTGGTTTGATTGCCTTGTGATTCAAGGGACTCACAGGAGACTCCTCCCACACCACAATTCAAAGGCCTCAGTTCTTTGGCACTCAGCCTTCCTTATGTTCCAGCTTTCACAGCCATACATTGCAACTAGGAAAACCATAGCCTTGACTATATGCAGTTTTGTTGGCAGGGTGATGTCTTTGCTTTTTAGTATGCTGTCTAGCTTTGCCCTGCCTTTCTCATGATGTGCTCTGCATGTAAGTTAAATAGGCAGGGTGACAGTATACAGCCTTGCTGAACTCCTTTCTCAATTTTGAACCAATCAGTGGTTCTGTGTCCAGTTCTCGCTGTTGCTTCTTGATCCACATATAGGTCTCTCAAGAGACAAATAAGATGGTCTGGTACTCCCATATCTTTAAGAACTTGCCACAATTTGTTGTGATCCACACAATCAAAGACTTCAGCATAGTCAATGAAGCAGAAGCAGATGTTTTTCTGGAACTCCCTAGCTTTCTCCATGATCCAGCATAAGTTGGCAATTCGATCTCTAGTTCCTCTCCCTCTTCAAAATCCTGCCTGTACTTCTGGTAGTTCTCGGTCCACATACTGCTGGAGCCTAGCTTGTAGAATTTTGAGTATAACTTTGCTAGCATGTGAAATGAGTGCAACGGTGCGGTAGTTTGAACATTCTTTGGCATTGGCCTTCTTTGGAATTGGAATGTAAACTGACTTTTTCCAATCCTGTGGCCTCTGTTGAGTTTTCCAAATTTGTAGGCATATTGAGTGTAGCACTTTTACTGCATCGCCTTTTAAGATTTTGAATAGCTCAGCTGGAATATTGTCGCCTCCACTAGCTTTGTTGTTGCTCAGACTTCCTAAGGCCCATTTGGCTTTATTTTCCAGGATGTCTGGCTGGAGGTCAGTGACCACCCCATCGTGGTTATCCGGGATGTTAAGCTCTTTCTTGTATAGTTCTTCTGTGTAATCTTGCTACCTCTTCTTAATCTCTTCTGCCTCTGTTAGGTCCCTGCCATTTTGGTCCTTTATCATGCCCATCTTTGCATGAAACGTTCCCTTCATATCTCCAATTTTCTTGAAGAGATCTCTGGTCCTCCCTATGCTATTGTTTTGCACTGTTCATTGAAGAAGGCATTCTTATCTCTTCTAGCCATTCTCTGGAATTCTGCATTCAATTGTTTGTAGCTTTCTCTTTCTCCCCGGCCTTTCACTTCCCTTCTTTCCTCAGCTATTTGTAAAGCTTCCTCAGACAGCCATTTTGCTTTCTTGCATTTCTTTTTCTTTGGGATGGTTTTAGTTGCTACCTCTTGTACAATGTTGCAAACCTCCATCCATAGTTCTTCAGGCACTCTGTCTATCAGATCTAATTCCTTAAATCTATTTGTCACCTCTACTGTATAGTCATCAGGGATATGATTTAGGTCATACCTGAGTGGCCTAGTGCATTCCCCTACTTTCTTCAATTTAAACCTGAATTTTGCAACAAGAAGCTCATGATCTGAGCCACAGTCAGCTCCTGGTCTAGTTTTTACTGACTGTATAGAGCATCTACATCTTTGGCTGCAGAGCACATAGTCAATCTGATTTCTGTGTTGACCATCTGGTGATGTGCATGTGTAGAGTCGTCTTTCGGGTTGTTGGAAAAGAGTGTTTGCTACGACCATTGTATTCTCTTGACAAAATTCTACCAGTCTGTGCCCTGCTTCATTTTGTACTCGAAGGCCAAACTTGCCTGTTATTCTGGTTATCTTTTGGCTTCCTACTTTAGCATTCCAATCCACCATGCTGATAAGGACATCATTTTTTGGTGTTAATTCTAGAAGGTGTTGTAGGCCTTCATAAAACCTGTCAACTTCAGCCTCTTCAGCACTAGTGGTTGGGGCATAGACCTGGACTACTGTGATGTTGAATGGTTTGCCTTGGATTTGAACTGAGAGCATTCTGTCATTTTGGAGATTGTATCCCAGTACTGCTTTTCCTACTCTTTTATTGACTATGAAGGCTAGTCCATTTCTTCTGAGGGATTCTTGCCCACAATAGTATACCTGATGATCATCTGAATTCAATTCACCCATTCCTGTCCATTTTAGTTCACTGATTCCTAAGATGTCGATGTTCAGTCTTGTCATCTCTTGTTTGACCACGTCCAGCTTGCCTTGATTCATGGATCTTACATTCCAGATTCCTTTTGAGTATAGATTTTTACAGCATCAGACTTTCTTTTCGCCACCAGGTACATCTGTAACTGAGTGTCCTTTTGGCTTTGACCCAGTCGCTTCATTCTTTCTGGCGCTACAAGTACTAGCCCTCTGCTCTTCTCCAGAGGCATTTTGAACACCTTCTGACCTGAGGGGCTCATCTTCTGGCATCATATCTCTTTGCCTTTTGGTACTGTCCATGGGGTTTTCATGGCAAAGATACTGGAGTGGGTTGCCATTTCCTTCTGCAGTGGATCACGTTTTGTCAGAGCTCTGTGCTATGACCTGTCCGTCTTGGG